GTTTAGACACCAATTTGCTTTGACATTTTGTCAAGGAGCAACAGAAAGACCCTGTGTGCAGAACTAGAGGCATCAATGTCAACTACAACATTAAATAAGATAAAGCCTCAAACGAATAAAGCAGAAGAGGGTGTAAAGCAGCTTTACAAATTCAGAAAAAGTGAGAAGGTAACAGAAAATCTATGTTAGTCCCAAAAGTTTGATTCTGTCCATCTGGACGTAACGTTTTCAGTGGGAGATTTATTTACCTGGACAATTGAGCATGCATCAAGACACTATGTTAGATTTACTGGTTGGAACCATTTGAATGCTTATGTCAGTAGCCTCCACCTACAAAATAATTCCAGTTTTGGGTGTTGACATATTGTTGCCCCTCTGCTGCACCTGTTTTTGATTTCGTGAACACCAAAAAAGTTGAAATTGGTTAATAACCTATTTGCTAGGGGTTAAAAAGAGCTGCCTTACCAGCCACAGCTCCTGAGGACAATGTAGCCAAGACAGGACTTTGCCTGGAACTCATGTAGCTGAGTGGCTTGAAGAGCAGGCCGTCTCTGGCCATGGCATACAGCACCCGTGGCATTGGCAACATCACTCCCAGCAAACTGTGAATGACGTATCAACTGCATTTTAAACGTGAAATTACAGGTACAGCAAGTTGCACATCACAGACTTCACAGATGAGCCATAACTACAACAAAGAATGAGATGTAGTTTTATATGCCGTTTATTTGGCTTTGGTAGCACAAACACATACAGGATAGACAAGCAAAGCCACTTATAACAAGAGCTGAACTATGATTTCTGACAATAAGGAGAGCTTCTTTCTACCATTCTTTTTACTTTGTTGCCTATAAGATGGTTAGTACTGGACTCTGGATATTTTCCATCATCATGTTGTACTGAGGTTGAATTATTTTCATTTTTGACAACTAATAAGCCAAATAATGGCTTATTAGATTATGTTCATGGAGCTGCAGCCTTAAGCAGTCTGCTATTCCTCTGGTAACTCCAGTCATTGAAATTGACTTCGCAGGTAGTTGTGGCATTTGTGCATGTGAATGAATTAACATGCATCTGGTTCGACAACTTCTCCAGTTTCTGTGATTTAAATTCTAGTATTTAAACAGTCCATTACTTAGCTCTATTTATCATGTGTGTGTGTGGAACTTGGCATACTATGTATTTAGTTTCACATACGATATATACTACACCAAATCTATGTATAGCTTACAAGGCAATATATTAATCATGATTAGTACTAGTCAGCCTGAGCAAATGGGGTCAAGTATTCCACTGCGTTGAAGTCATTACAGGCTACATCATCACAGATTGCCCTTGCTGCTTTTAGAAAAATGGTCAAATTTCAACACCCCCTGATGCCAGTGAGGGGCAAAGAACCTTTTTTTTTCTTCAGGTAAATCAGGCAATTGTGCACGACAATTTAACAAAAAGAAAGAAAAGATTTCTGTAGCACTAAAGTAAATTTAAGCATGCAGTTTTAACAATTGTGTAAATGAATTTAGCAATTGGAACTGACTCAGTGTTTTACAGGTGTACAGATCATTACCTTGTTGACAGTGCACAAAGGGATCCTACAGCAACAGCATACTTTGCAGGCTCCCAGCCAATGTACTCAAAGGCCACAGGTAATGGACTGTGAGCGTCAAGCAGATAGTAGGGCATCATAAGTGTCAGGGAAGCCGACACGCCAAAAAAAGCCACGAAGCAAATAAGCAGGGATACCACAATCCCAAGAGGTATGGCTTTCTGTGGGTTCTGCACCTCCTCTCCTAGAAAAGCAGATGAATTAGACGTACACTTCCTGATTCAGCAAACAATCTAATAATGAAATGATCTACACACAGATGAGCCAAAACAATCAAATAAACAGACCAACAGATTATTTTGCAACAAAAGCACAAACATTATACTGACAAAAGTACTGAGTCACTTGCACATTACACCTACAGGAAATTTATGACATCCTATTCTAGGCCTACAGGCATCAATATAGAGTTGGTCTCCTAAAACGGCGCCGCAACAGAGAAGGGCCTTTTCCAAACTGTTCCCACAAAGACTTCCCTTCCCTGGAACTAAGCGCCTGGGCCAAACACAGACAGTCTTATAGCTTTATCCAACCTCCAAAGCTTAAGAGTTAGTACAATGGAGGCAACATTCTCCTGGCAGTCATCAAAACTAGATTTGTCCACGAGATTTCCAGATAGCAAAGTGTGTGGAGTGATTTTTATTATAATTTTATTTTATTATTCTTGTTGCATGTTGAAGCTCTACTTGGAAGCTTGTTAAGATCCAACCATGCAAAATACGATTTTTTGCCATCTTTCAAGTGGTCTTAAACTTTTGCTAGGGATTTGTATTTATTTATTTTTTTCAATATACGTGTACACACACACACACACACACACACACACACGATAGCTATGTTTTGATAACCATCTCTCTATCGTAGTTCTATTTCATCCAGTGCTATTCTCATTGAGATAGGATTTACGATCATCTCACAAATATCATCAAAGCACAGCTTTCTCCCCGTTTGTCTCCCATAGGGAACCATTTTAAAACAGCTCATAGAGTAAAAAGTAGGGTGTCGTCACACTGCAACCACATCACTATTATTAACTCTACAAACATGCAAATTGAGTATTCTGTAGTCCGGAAGTTGCTTCTGCTCACAGTGAATTTTCCCAACACAACATAGTTTTCTCTTGGAAAGCATTTATTTCAGAACTTAAAGGCTGTTTTCTTTCCTTTGCTTCAACAACATATATCCTGATGTTTTCTGAAAATTCACCAGGTAGAAGAATAGGCATACTCAGAATTTACTCAGAAATTTCCTGCCAATTTGTAGCTAAGTTACTGTGGTTGTACTTTGCAATGCCACTTACATTTGAATGTGGAATATCCTGGATGGAAGAAATTTCACAAACTAAACTGAATAATTAAGAGATGTGACCCGGTACTTTTGTCCACATAGTGCATTACAGACTGGAATATAATAAACAACCTCACAGGGCAAAATGTTTGTGGCCAGATGAAAGGTAACAAAGTTAATCCTACTCAAGAGTACCGTACCAGTAGCAACAATGCAGTCAAATCCAAAGAAAGCATAGAAACAGGTTGCTGCCCCGGCCAAAGTTCCATCAAAACCAAAGGGGAAAAAGCCGCCAACACCAAAGTCAACAGTTTCATTCGGCTCAAGTTTCCTGCACAAAAGCAACAGTAGTTTCATGACATGATATCACAACGGAAATATCCACATTAATGATGTACATACTATCAGACAAATTGGTTTTCTGCTTGTATAAAAGTTATACATATGACTGAGCAATTTGAGAAATCTTAAATATACCATGAAACTATAAAGAGCACAAAGAGGGGAAAAAAAGTTGTGAATGAAATAAATCGGATTGTCTATTTAGATCAAGTCTCCTCACCATTTGGGATAAGCATTCTCACGTGGTGGCAGGCAGCTATGAATATACAGTACTGTGTAAAAGTCTCCATTACCCCATTCAAGCTACCTCTTCTTACTAAGCTCTTTAGATCTCCATTACCCCTCATTTCTTTATACTTTGCTCCCAAAGTAAGACTGGGCATCTTGTTTTTGTTTAAAGAAATAGTTCTCCTGTCTTCTTGAAGGTCTTTCAAAGTTTTTCTTTGGACACTGGTTGCTTTTTCAATAATTCCTGTCTACTCCTCGTACCTGACTATCTTCAGAGTTTTGTTGATCACTTAACACAAACCTATGAATCATCCAAGTGTGCAAAGGGCATGCAAGGAATGAACCAGAGCCAATGTTAAACTCCAGTATGCCAAAAATAAATACACAATAGAGGAAACTGGAGAACTTGAGAAACAAGGAAGAATTGGCAAGCCTAAACTATCAAACAAATTTAATATTGAACAAATATTTTATTTTAAGGGAAAAATGCTAACCATCTAACTAAGCCTATGAGAAACGTGTGTAGTAATTAGTCTAGCAAGAGTTCCAAGAGTTTTGAAAAAAATATTCTGTGGACTAACAAGATAGAAGTTACAAAATGTGTGGCATGACATTAAATCAGGCAGTTCATGCTTGGAAACCCTGTGTGAAGGCTGAATTAAGTTCTGCAAAGGAAAGTCGGCTGAAATTCTTCCACAGATCAAGACAGATCACCGGTTATTGTAAAAACTTGATTGTAGTACATATTGTCCCTGTTATCTTTCTCTAATATCAAAATTTGTTTGATGATCTGAAACATGCTGGTGTGACAAACATGAAACCACTAAGGGGGTAAATACTTTTTCACAGTACTGTGCCCAGCATAGTAAAAATTTTCAAATATAAACTGAAACCTAAAACTGACTTTTGCAGTACACGAAAAAAAAAAAATCTATCAGAATGTGAATGAAAATTAGCATAAATAAAACTTACATAATTTCCCAAGTTGCATTTAGAACTGTCTTTTTACTGATGTGCCAGTTTTTGAGATCTCCTTTTATAAAGCCAGAAGTGATGATAAAAATCAACACAGTCACATTTACTGCTGTAAAAACAGTATTCACAATTGCAGACTCCTTCAGACCATATGCAAGCACCCCTGAAAACAGAGGGAAAGATATAAACAGATGTACTTTACCTTTAAGAATGTTTTTCCATCTATGATACAAATAATACTTCATGTCAAAATTGCAAATGTCACCAGCAAGCAACATAATCAGCGCAGCAGCAAAGAAGTCTGGGTATTCAGCCAAGCCAGGTGAGTCCATTGGTGTGTGTTCCCCTAGATGCTTAGCCATAACATTGTGTATCAGGTCATCAAATGCTCCAGTCCAGGCTTTGGCTATACTAGATGTTTCTAAGGAGAAGTTCAAAAAACAAGGCATGGAAGATAACTCCATTAATTGTTATTGTAGGGTCTTTACCAATATAAAAGGCCTCAATGTGACTGTTGTGATTTGACACTATACAAATAAAACTGAATAAAATCAGCTTTTACAAAACATTTGAGACTAAGGGTCATCTTGTGTAAAGAAGTAAATATCAAATATTTTATATTAAATATGATCAAACTCCCTACAAATAGAATCAAATAAAAATAAATCAGTTCAGGCAGTGTCAGCTTTAACATTTGTCTGTTTTTTCACACTTTCTACCATAAACTACTGCAAAAACTGGATTTGATGCACAACTACATCACTTGGCATACTGCATTTATGTATTTTGTCAAATACATGGTAAAGATGTATAGTGCCCCCTGAATTCCACTTACCAATGAGATAGGACAGCAGCAGATTCCAGCCAGTCACAAATGCCCACACTTCTCCTATAGTCACATAGCTGTAAAGGTAGGCCGAGCCCATCTTTGGCACACGAGCACCAAGCTCAGCGTAGCACAACCCTGCAAAGACTGAAGCCACTGCAGCAACCAGGAAAGAGATGACGATACTAGGACCAGCCACTTCCCTCGCCACCTCCCCTGAGAGCACGTAAACCCCTGCTCCAAGCGTGCCGCCAACACCCAGGCCAATCAGATCCAGGCTGGTCAAGCATCGGCAGAAGTTGGACTGCTCACCTGCTGGCTCCAAAGGCTTCTTACGGGCCAGGGAACGGATGAACGCTAACACAGAACGTATTCTGAAATCAGTAGTACTGTGATTTAACAAAACAACCAACACCAGTCAAGGATTCAAGTATTATGTGGCCTCTCTGTGCCTGACTTTTTCTGGCTTGAAGTTATAATGAAAAGGCCAAAACAAACATTACCTGCTACTCATTTCACAGGTGCTTAGATCTGTTTCTGCTGTGTGGACTAGAAGAGGGGAGAAGAAAAAAATCTCTTCTCTTTCCAGCTAACAGCCCTGCAGACTGCTGCAGCGGCACACCTGACATCAATTCAGCTAATCAGCATGAGGATGTTCAGGCCTCCTGTCTCACTGCTTCTATCAATGAATTGTCAACAGTATGAGGTATATATGCTGCATGTGATGGAAACACTTTAATATGCCTTGCACAGATAGAAATATGAATTTAATACTGTTTCTATTTCACAGTAGAGTGTAGATAATGCTGTTTCCAGAAACTGGGAATTGTTTGTAGTGAACAGACACATAACAGAAAGCCCCAGATGTGGCAGCTAACCAAATACCTCTTGGCCTTCACTTCAATATGTCTCACAGGGTTATATGACATGCCGGATGGTTTTTAATTTCCAGCATTGAACTATTCCATCAGAATTTATCTCTGATTTTCAAGCTGCTGGCAAAATCACAGTGTCCAAGCCTGAGCAGAGTTGGAGCCATGTTTTCCTGAGCCCATATAAACAGGTTAGCTACATAAATCCCCCAAAGTTTTTTGCTTCTGGTAATCCATCAGCTCTTGGAAATCATGTTGACATTTCCACTTCTCCAGCTCCAACTTTTTCCAGGATCCAGAAACTTTAGACAAAAAACTAAGACTGTACAAGATTCTTTCAGCAGTCCTGCAACAAATTGTGCTGGATCCATTTCAAGATGCAAATACTTTCATTGTTGTCATTGGGTTTTTTTCCCCTCTAAATCAGATTATTCATAAATGGTATCATCAGCAGCCTTAAATCCACCTTGAGCATAAAAGCCATGGCCTAAATCTATAACTAGCTACAGTGTCACAATGTCACTGTGATATTAATCTAGTAAAACATTTGTTTTCAGACTTAGAGCACTGCTACCACGAGGCCATTAATTTAAGGTCCATTAAGGGTCAGCATCAGATTGGGGATTTCTATCATTAATCATATGTTAAGTTCTTCTCACTAATTAATAAGTGGATGCTGTGACATGGTTCAAGCAGAATACATCTTTGTTGTCAGTCAGCCGTTTAGCTTAGCTGGTGTCCACATTTAGTAAAACTCTAAAGAAGGAGTCTGATATGAGTCAGTGACGCTCACTTCTGTCCACTAGCAGCAATACTGAGGTCAGTTGTTATTATATACTGAACTTTTCTGTTGATAATCACTGCTGTTTGCCCATGTAGGTGAAACTTTCTTTGAACTGGCTGTTAGTCGTAAATGAACTCCCATACGATGTGAGAATGCAATCAAATTGTTTATCAGGGGAAAAGTGTGATTTTTTTTTTTTTTTTAGGACACTAGAGCCTAACATTAACTGGTTTAATCTTAGCTTATTTCCAAACTAACATAAGAAGAAAAACATACTGAGAAAGAGATCACCAAAATATACATGTACATATGTTAAATGGTCATATATAATGAGAAAGAGCTATTTATGACCTTTAAATTAAAACTAATGTATAAAGTGTGGCCAGTCTCTAGCCAGTTATGTAAAATGTAAAAAGGCGGAGCGGCGATGCCCATCTCAGCCAGTGTATTCCAGATGGTGGGTCAAGATGGCAGCTTCCACAAAATGACACCAGCTCCTATGTATTTTTAATAGATAAATGATAAGTTTGTGACAATGTATCAATTTGTTGGAACACATGAATTGTGTATTTAGAAGTACAACATTTTTCTTTTTTTATCAAATCACCTAAAAAAATTACTTACTGTACCTTTTATGGACATGACTTTCAAAATGATTCTTTAACCCTAAAGGGGTGGCTGTGGCTGCGGAGGTGGAGCAGGTCATCTACTAATCAGAAGGTTTTTGGGTTGATCCGTGACTGCTCCAGACTGCATGCTAAATGTCCTTGGGCAAGACATTATCCCTAAGTTTCTCTCTGATGCATTCATCAGTATGAAAGGGCTTCTATGAACAGGTGTGAATGAGTCAATGAGACAACCTGTATAGAGCGCTTTGAATGTTCAGGTAGAGTAGAAAAGCACTAAATAAAGTTGGTAAAAAAAAATTCTCTATGTTGACTTCTTTAAGACCTCAAACTCACCTTGGAGCAGGTTGCCTTATTAATGCTAAAAACCCAGAATGGAAACTGACCTTACTGCTTCCTTTAAGCATCTAGAAGCTGCTTGACATCTTTACAGATCAATCTATAGCTTTGAAAACTGTCTATAATATTCCTTTACAAGTTTACATATTGTAATTTGCTGTTTTTAATTCATCTTTCCATCTGATAGAAGAATCCCTCCCTATTATGATTTCAGTTTCATCACTGCATGAAGCTACAAACATTTAAATTCATGCCACCAGCATTCTCTATAGCCAAACTATTCCCTAACATATATATTAAGCTTGTCAAACGTCTTTCTCATCAGTTCTTTGACAACAACATGACTTTAAGGTTCTTCTAGTCTGCAATACCTGGTAAGGTCACAAGATGGCAGCAAAAGTATTCAGAAAAGATCCTAAACTGCTCGGTCCCTCTCTGGCTTTCTAGTTGATGACATAATCCCTTTGTCAATGAAAAGGAGGGAATTCTGTTTGAAATCCAGGAAGATGGAAAAGATTGGCACCCTAACACCTTCAGTCTGTCAGAATTTGATGAAATATCCTTTATTTGTTCAAATAATAAAGTGTTTATAATTCAGTGAATTCAGTGTCTGTATCATAATGATCGCCTTCTAAAACACTGGACTCTTTTCCTTCATGTCTTGCTGTAGGCTGTGTGAGGGATGTCTTTGCTCTGCAGCTTTAACAATTCAGCCTGCAAAATTAACATGCACACTGTGACAGTAGAAATACCTCTGAATAAATTCACTCACTCTGCACAGCCCCACCTCCAACATTTGTGTGTGTTAGTAGCTGTGGCGATGGCAGGCAGCCAGCAGTGTTTTTGTGTGTGCGCTTGTATGTGTCAGGACTGCTCTAAAGTTGTTCTCTGCACTCAGTTAGCTCTATTGTAATGGAGCGGTAATTGTTACGAGTGCACTTTCTCAGAGTAGAAATCAATGCTTTTTCTCATTGCTCTCCCCACACTGTTCATAATGACACCTTTGTGGTGTGATTGCATATATCTCTGTGTCTAGTGGCAGATCAGAACTACCAGAGGTATTTTCGATTTGACCAATGGGTTGTTGGGAGGCTGGGTCAGTCAGTCAGTCAGTCAGTTAATATGTCACACTCTGAATAATGAGTGACTTAGGATCTCATTGATAGAAGGTTTGTGAATTCCTTTAACATTTATTAGCAAATCACATGCCAATAAAACAATGACCAATAAGAGCAGAAAATAACTAAATTAAAGAAAAATTATGAAATTTATAGCAACACAAACAAAATTACTTAGACATCACTATCATATTAACAAGGAAAAACTCCCAAAACGCTTGCCTGGGGAAAGATACATTTCTAAGGAAGATTTCAACAAGAGAGCGCTTTTGTTTTTGAGTGTCTTACAAATAAATCAAACAATATGCATTAATACAATGAAAATTATAGAAAAAATACACAATGATTAGAAGAGAAAACATAGTCATTCAGACACCACTATCAGAATAGTGTGTACACACACCACAACAAATGGGCAGAGCTATAGAACCTTCCCCCTGCATATCAAATCTTAGGTCACTTCTGGAGCATTTTTAAAGAATGAACTTCAGCAGACAAAGCCCTGAGAATCCTGCCCCAACAGAGAAGCAATGCCATGTATTTCTTCTATACCAAACAAATATAAACATCACTATTAAACAGAAATATTACCAAAGTGTGTGCAGAAGCCATGAGTTTAAAACAGTATTATTCACAGTAATGATCCAAATTCCTAATCCAACCCACTTAACTCGGCTTCTCTTGAGTAACATGTCTATATAAATCATTCAAAAATCAAAATGTTATGGCAGCAGTGTGTGGTTTGTTGCCTCTCTGGCTTTGTAGATTTCCTCAGTGTACTCTGGCTTCCTCCCATAGACCAGCAGTCCCCAACCTTTTTTGCGTCACGGACGGGTTATGTTCGACAATATTTGAACGGACCGGCCTTTAAGGTGTCGCGGATAAATACAACAAAATAAAACCACTACCAGTACC